TTCGGTCGGGCCGAGTCCGCAAACCACCCCGACCATCAACTTCCACCATTTTCCATCAAAATCCATCACAACCCATCGCGAACCATCAAATTCCACCAAAGTCCATCATTTTTCATCAAAATCTATCAAATTTCATCAGGCCCGACCATCAAAATCTACCAGAACCGATCAACATCCATCAAATTATGATGAGCTTATTGCACGGGACTTCCACCATTTTCCATCAAAATCCATCAGAAACCATCAAATTCCATCAAAATCCATCAAGTCCGGCCACCACAAATCATCAGAAACCATCAGAATCCATCAAAATCCATCAGAACTCATCAAAATCCATCAAAATCCATCAAATTCCATCAAAAACCATCAGAAATTGTGATTTTTGTAAAGGGCAGGAGGGGGGGGGGCATGCGAAAATTCCGGAGTGGGGGCGAGGGGCAAGGGGCGCCCATGCGCACTCGAGGTTGTAATCGTTTGATGGCCTTCTGCCCAGGCGCCCCGCGGGGTGGCGGGCCGCTCGTGGTTTCTCTGCCAACACACACCACGCGACGACCGCGGGGGGGGGGGGCGAACGTTTCTGCCTGGCCCTCGGGTCACGAAGTCTTGGGTGGGGGCGCGTGGCATTGGGCATAGGGGGCGCCAGTGCAATTTGTGGCTGGGGGCGTTGGCCTGTGGGCTCCGAGGTTTGAGCTTGGCTCTGGGGGGCAGTGGGTTCGGGGTCTCGGCCTGGGGAATCGGCGCGTCGGGCATGGGGGCCGCGGCGGCTGGATTCTGGTCCGCTCGTGGGGCGCGGGGCCCAGCGCAGACGTACTCAGGATTCTGGGATCGGCCATAAAGGCGTGAGCTCTGGAGGTTCTGGCCGACGGCTTGGGGCATCGGGCTTCGGACTCGGGCTTCATGCGCCAAGCCACCCCCCCATGTGCCTCATGTCCCGAGCCTTCTGCATTCTGCCTTTAGCCCAGTGCCCTGGGCCGTGCGCCCACAGGCGTAAGCACGTTGCCCTACGCCCTAGGCCCTGCGGCCCCAAGCCGCGCCCCCTCGGCCCCAAGCCTTGGACCCTTTGTTTTGCGCTTGAAGCCGCGCCCCCGAAACACCGAAACCCTGCGCCCGAAGCTGCGGGCCCGAGGCCATGCGCCCCACCCCCCCGTGCCTAAGCCCCATGCCACACGCCCTCGGCCCGAATCCTTCAACCCTACACCCTGGGCCATGGGCCGAATGCCCTAAACCGCGTGCCCCGCGCTCCATGTCCTTTGTCTCTAGAAGTAGTTCCAGAGCCCGTCGGCTGGCACCCCGAGCCCCAGGGCCTTAAGCCCTGTGCCCTAAGTCCTCAGCGGTGGGCCCTAGAGTGCCTCAGCCCCGAGCCTGCGACCACAGCCCTGAGCCTGACGCCGTAAGCCCTAGCTTTGAGCTCTGAAGCAGAATTCGCGAGCGATTAACTTCAGCCTCATGCCTTAGAGGCCCACAGCCCCAATCCCATATGCCCTGAGCCCTGGGCCATGCACCCCGAGCAGCAAGCCATAACCGCGAAGGCCTGAGCTCGAATCAGGAAACCCTGGTCCCGTAGCCCCAAGCCCTGAGCCCAGAGCCGCTTGCCTGGCGCCCAACGCCCTACGCCTGGAGCCCGAACCTCTGAGTCCCAAACCCGAAGCCCAAGGCTCTCAGCCCTCAGCACCACCCACGAATACCAGAACCCTACGCCCCATGCCCGAAGCCTCGGTTCCCATGCCTGGGGCCTCGTGACCTCTGCTGCAAACAATCAGCCCCCAGACGCGCGCCCTGCGCCCTCTGCCCTGAGCCTTGGCGCCTGCGCCCCAAGCCGCGCGCCAACTGCATTCGCCCCCCCCTCCCCAGCCCTGCGCACCGCGCCAGGCGCCCCGCGCCCCAACCCTCCAGCCGCCTTCCCAACGCCTATGGCCGCAACCTCATCTGTCCTAACACCGAGTCCCGAACCCCTTCGCTTTATATCAAAATGGTTGCGCGGACAATGCCGCTCGCCCGTGGCCCCTGCCGCTCAGCCTTGCGCCAATCGGCACAGGCCCACAGCCTGATGCCTCATGCCCTTAACTGGAGTCGTCGGCGCTGGGCCCGAAGCCTTCGACCACTAGCGCTAAGCCAGAAGCCCTGGGCGATGAGACGTTGGCCATGACGCCCGAGCCTTGAGCCTCGGCATTCACGCCAGAAATCCTGAGCCCGAGGGCCGCGGCCCCAAGCCACGATCCCGATGCCATCATCCCTTTGCCCCAGATCTGTCGCGCAGTGCCTTCAGACCAGGTCACGAAACACTCCGAGCCATGGCCCCTGGGCCCGATGGCCATCGCCTTCTGGCTGAAGCCGCGAGCCCGAAGCCTTGCGGTCTAGGTTCGGATCCCGATGCGCCACAGCTCTGGGCGCTACGCCCTGTGCCTTGAACGCTGGGCGCTGAACCTTAAGCCCCGCGGTTTCAACTCTGCGACCTATGCGTTCGGCCCTGAGCCCCCGCCCCCAAGCCGCATGCCTTCGCCCCTGGGCCCACCGCCCGATGCCGTCATCCGCGGGCCTCGAGCTTTCCGCTTTGAGCCCTGGCCCTTGAGCCTTGGGTTTCACCCCCCAATCCCTGAGAGATGGGCCCTAAGCCCTGGTCGCTGAGCATTCAGCCCGATGCCCGTAGCGCCCAGCCCGTTGCCCACTGTCAGGCTTCAAAGCTTCGAGGCCTGATCCATGAGCCTTGAGCCTTAAGCCCGAAACTGTAGCCTTGGAGCAGTTGCGCCATGTGCCCCAGGCCCTCTGCCCAAGGTTCCAAGAGCGGAATGGCTGGCCCTCAGCCTCCAGCCCCATGGCCCTAAGCCCCGCGTTGTACGCCCCGTGGCTCTACCCCCGCAGCACGAGGCCCGACACCATAAGGCCTCAGGCCCTGTGCCATCAACCCTCAGCCCGCAGCCCCGAGCCCCATGCCCTATGCTTTAAGCCGCAGGGCCGAGGCCCGTCGCCCGATGGCATGCCCGCGAGGCCCCTTGCCGCGCGCCCAAAGTTGTCGGCCTTCCGTCCCACGTGCGTGAGCATACGCGTGAAACCGATGGCCTGCAATCCTCGACCGCCAGCCTTAGGCTCTGAACTTTCATTCCTTAGCCCCGAGCCTGGTGGCCCCAGCCCGAAGCTCCAATCCCCGCGCCCTATGACTCGAGCCCTGGGCCCGAAGCCAGAGCGCCAACGCCCCAAACCATAGCGCCTTGAGCAACAAGCCCGAAGCCCACATCGCAAGGGCCAGCGTCCTGTGATTCAGGGTTTACGCCATAAGCTCCAAGTACCCAGCCCTCATCCCTGACCCCAAATGCCCCAGCCCTACGCCGTGAGCCCCTGGTCGTGGGCACCGAGCTTACATCCCTACGCCCTGAGCCCTCGGCCATGCGCCTCGAGCCTTGTGCCCGAAGCCGCGTGCCCGAAACGGAATGGCCCAAGCCGTAAGCCCCAGGCCTTGATCAATAACGTTGCGAGTCGTCAGCAGTGAAACTTCAGTCAGATGCCCTAAGCCCTGGGGCTTAGACCCGACCCCTAGGCCCCCCTGACCCATGACCCGTAGCCCAATTCCGCACCCTCTGAGCCTACGGCCCCGTGCCCCTGGCCCCCCTGCCTGAGCGCAAAGCACAGAGCCTAGCGCCCCCGCTCAAAGCCCGCGGCCTGAGGCGCTCCATCCTGAGACCTCGGCCAGAAGCCATCGGCCGTCAATATGTAGTATTGGGCCTTGGGCCCTGGTCTTTGGCCCCTCAGCTGCACGCCCCATCGGCCCTTGGACTTGTGCACAAAGCCGCATGCCTCAAACCCCAGGCCCTAGGCTCTAAGCCCGAAGGTCCATGCCTTAATTTTGAGCTCTACGAACTTATCCTTAAGCCGTGAGCTCAAAGCCCTCAGCCCTGAGCCCGACGCCCAGATGTCGTAAGGCCCAAGCCCGTGCCCCGAGCCCGTAGCCCTATGCCTTAATCCCTAGGCCCTGAGCCCCGAGCCATGAGCCCTCGGCCCCGATTTCAAAAGCCTTGGACCAGCACCCCTGGGACTTAAGGCCCAAGCCCGAAGCCTCCAGATTTCTGCCATTTGCCTTATGCCCCAAGCCCGAACAACTCCCTCTATGCCGATTACCTCACATTAGGTTTTGCCCCGCCCCCCCCCCGCGCGCGCGTGGGTTCTTGCAGACAACAATAAACATGTCAGCAACATAAAACTCAACGTATGATGCATGCCACATCAACGTGCAAGCCCGAGTGTTTACAGTTGCAATAAATGTGCATATGTTTCTGCGTTCTTCTATGCATATCACACTTCATGCGTGGATTCGCTCAGAAGGTTGTCCTGCCTCCGTTCTGGACGACCGAAGGGCCGATGCTGCGGTTCCGGAAGCCCCGATCATTCGCGGGGCCGTTGCAGGCACGGGAAGATGAGGCGTTCTGCAGGGCCTCGTCGTTTGTGGGGGGACCACGCACCCGCCTCGCCAGTCGGTCACTTTGGCGGGTTGGAGTAGCAGCTAGGGGTTGCATCGGCCACGGCTCCGAGTCTTCTTCTGGCGACGGGCCCCCGACAGTGAGATATCATAAAGCCTGGTCCGCCGAGAGGGGAGGGGGGGGCGAGGTGCATGGGGGGACGAAGCGGCGGCAAGGGAGGGGACGGGCAGGTGGCGGGGAGGGGGGCGGGAGGCAGGGGATTGGACGAGGACACGGAAACGCCCATGTGGAAACGCTTGTGGTCGGAACGAGCCCCGCTGGACACGGTTCTTGGCGAAGATAATCGCGATGATAATCGCTATGATAATGTCGCAGATTGGCGCGAAGATAATCGACATGGAGCACGCCCGAGTGGCGAAGATAATCGAACTCGTCCTGGAGTTATCCGCTGAGAATGTCGTTCCCGTGTCCGACACCGCGTAGGCTCGAGCATTTTGCCCGCGGGCCCTTTTTCCAAGATCCCTTGTATTTCTCCTCGCCGTTCGGCGCAGGCCGTGGCCATGGCCACCGCTGGTTCTGCGCGCGCGCAAGCGCGCCGTGTCCCGTGTCGCTGAGGCTCTCGCTGCCGGTTCCGACGAGGCCGATGGCTCGGAGCGCTCCAACCCTGAGGAGAACGACGACGAGCTTTTCCAGGATGTTCGGCAGCGCGGGCGTGCAGCCGTCAAGGTCCTGAAGGTCGATGCGAAGCCGAAGGCGAAGCCGTCGGGCAAGTTTCGCGTCTGCGGCCGATCAGGCTGCTCCAAGAAGGAGGCGGCCGACATGCGGTTCCCAGATGCGTCGATCGCTGCGCGCGGGAGGTGCTACTACCCGTGGGAGTGGGCCTGGAAGGAGAAGCATCCCAGCTGGCCGAAGTTTTGCCAGCAGCTCAACCAGGAGAAGACCTTGAACGACCAGTTCGAGGTGTCCGCGGAGTGCGCGGAGGACGCGCGCAACAGGGCCTTCGACGAGGAGAGCGTCGACATCGTCTCGCGATGCTGCTTCGGGATGGCGCACCACTTCAGGGTTTGGAAGCAGCAGCCCTTTCGCGAGGCCACCTCCGTGCCCGCTGACGTCGAGCCCAAAGATCTGAATCTCAAAGCTTCATCGATCAAGTTCCCTTCGGGCGCTAGCGTGGATGGGCATGTGACGGTGAACCCTGACAAGCCCTTCGTCGACGTGGACAGGATTGAGGAGTACTTCGTCGAGAGGCGTTCCCAGTCGCTCACCGAGGCGCGCCATGTCCTCAGGGATCAGGGGAAAAAGATGTTCAAAGCCGAGATCTCGACGCTCAAGGCCAAGATGCCCACCGCCATTCGCGGCAGGACCACCCCTCCGACGCTGGGGTCCATCGCGTTTGAGGCCAAGGTGAAGAGCGACGGCAAGGGGGGCATCCAGCCTCAGCAGCATCCAGGCGGCTGCCCTTTCGTTAACCAGGGCAGCCGTGGGCATGCTGCAGGCAGTGTGGCGGACAGTCTCCCAGCATCCGCGCCCGAGGACTCTGGCGGCGGCGTCGCGGCCGCGGGTCTGCATGATCTTACCAGAGACGCCGCGGGCCGCGGCGAGGGCGCTGGCGACAGCAAGAGCCAGACCCAGGACGAGAAGGACCTCCAGGGGCTGCAGGTGGATTCATCGAAGCCTCCGAGTGCCTCGCCTCCCCCAGCCCGCGGACGCTCTCGGTCGTGGAGGTCGACTCGGACTCGCATCAGTGCAGCGGGAGGGGCCCCCAGGGCCCGCGCAGGTGGCAAGGCCGCCAGCTCCGCTGGTGGCATGGAGGCCTTATCGAAGCCCAGATCGCCAGCGGCTGTCGACGAGATGGAGAGGATCAGGCAGCTCGAGACCGATTGCGACATCGCGAAGATCTTGGAGGGCTACAAGCTCGGCGATGGGGAGTACGCCGTCACACGCTTCAGCCCGAAGCAGCCCAATGCCAAGGATAGGAAGGACGCGCTGATCGAAGTCATCGAGACGGCGAAGCAGATTTCCACGCACAACATGCACAACCTCAGGGGCAAGAGCGATTTGGAGACGAAGTACATCAACGAGCTGAAGAAAATCAACGTGAATTTCCAGAGCTGTCCGAAGTGGTGCCGCACTCTGGTTTCAGAGACCCTCCATGCCAACTTAGACTTGGATGCAGTGTGGGGCATCATCAACCCGTTCGCTGAGGCGGAAGATGGCCTTGCTCAATTCGACCCTGCTTGCCCGAAGCTCTCGGGAGTTGCCGATGAACTGGATGTGATCATCAATATCGCAAGGGACCACGCCTTGAACTACCTGCTCATCCCGATCATCCAGAATAAGACCGATCAGCTGGATACTGCCAAGGGGCTCCGAAGCACCTTGAGGGAGTTTGTTCGTGCTTCACCTGGGCTGCCACAGGAGATCAAGAAGTTCTACAAGGGCATGCAGGTCTGCGCGGTCAGCCATCCTGGACACGATCTCCGACCACTCTGCGGAGGCCGTGGCCTCCATCGGGGTCGACTTGGCTGACTTTCGGAAGATGCTCCACGGCGACTATGACAAGGAGTGGTCGTCGTTCGCTCGCGCTTTGGACTCGGACGATTACTGGAGGCAGGAGAAGATAGAGTGGCGACGCGCTTCTCAAGGTGACCTGCAGGAGATGGAGAATATAACGATGACCAGGCAGTCGCTCGAGGGCGAGGTCTCCGACGTCACGGTGTTCACCAAGACCGTAGCGTCCCTGATGAAGTGGTTCACAATACGCAGGTCTTCTATTCCGACCCCCGCCATGCATGATTTTTTTCTCTGCGGTCGAGCAGTTCATGGGCCGTCACGCCATGCTAACGGACGAGGAGAACGCGCCGAAGATGGACCGGTTCAACTCCTTGCCCACAGGCCTGCTCGAGCTCGACAACTGCTTCTCGAAGGGCGAGGCCCGTGAAGGGGTCACCAGGACTTTCGGGCCTCGGCTGCGCCGCTTAGTGGAGAGGGTTCGGGAGCTGCAGTCTCAGGTGTCCAAGTCTGTCTCGTCGAGCGCGATTTTGCAGGCCTTGCAGAAAGCGGCGGTTGTCGAGGACATGAGCGCTCAGGCGAAGATCGTCAAGACCGAGCTCGGGCAGTTGGGAAGCGTCAGGTTCTCCGACCCACCACACCTGAGCATCATATTCAATGCTGTGGACGCCATGGCCGCTACCGCATGCAATAACATCAAGATGGATGCGGCGACAGATATCGACGACTTTCTCGTTGACGAGGTGGCCGACATGTTGGAGCTAACCACGAAGGTGTGCGACCTAGCGGAGTGCGACGACGAGGGGCAGCGCATCAACGGCGTTGCTCGCCGCGTGAAGCTCATGACGATTGTCTTGAACACGACTCGCGCCCTCAAGGAGCTGGTGCAATTCGGAAATGCAGTTGAGCAGGTTTCAAACACGGAGGGCACCAAAGCATACCAGTGCCTGAAGGGCACCGTCGGGGATCTCAAAAAGATGTGCAGCCTGATGGATGGCCAGCCTGGAGGGACCCACGGCAACTTCATCAGCGTCGCTCAGATCAAAGACAAGTTCGAGTACTTCTTGGCCACGGCGGCGGGCACGACACTGTCCTTCGAGAGTGCCGACATCGACTCTACCCTCGCCGACGCCACCGAGTATCAGAACAGGTTGAAATCCATCGTCAGTTTTGGCAACGTTGATCGTGGCTGGAGGGCATGCCTCGACGACAGTGCAGAGTGAACGGCGGTGGTCAAGCATGCTCGCTCGACGGTCTTCGCAACGAAAGGCTTGGCGGCCAAGGTGGGCCCCGCCATCGCGGTCCTGGAGAAAGCCATCACCAACGTCCGCGACACCTGCGAATCCTACGAGCAGGACGGCAAGTGCGACGAGATCGTGAGGGCAATGGAGAAGACGATCCACCTGGCAAGGCTCACGCAGATGGAGGCCGCCGCCATCCAGAAGATTCGCGATAACGAGAGCTCCAGTACTGAGGTGAGGGCCACGGCCATCCAGAACGTGCTGGACGTTCTCCCAGAGAACGGCATCGCCCAGAACGAGTTCCACCTGGCGGTGCAGAAGAAGCTGAACGAGGCCATGCGGGCCTGAGTTGAACGATGGCCCATTCGGAGCTGAGTTGAGGCAGGATGCCTCAGTGGGCAGCAGGCTGAATTGCACGAGCTCGCCGCTGCTCCGACCCGAGCCTTGACTTCGGAGTGCTCCTCGAGGAGCGCTGGAAACGGACTGGGGGTTCAGGACTTCCGAGGGGCAGGATGAGGACGGGAGAAGGAGGAGGAAAATAAGGGGAGGGGAGGGAGGGGCGGGCGGGGACGGGACAGGAAACGCAGAAAGAGGGGGGAGGGGAAGCGGTGCGGGGGAGGGAGGGAGGAAGGGCAGGCAGAGGAGGAGGGAAACCAGGCAGACGGCAGGATACCTCCTCCTCCTCCTCTCCCCTCGCCCGCCCTCGCCCTCGCCCGCGCCGTCGCCCTCGCCGACGCCGACCCCAGCGCCCTCGCCTGCGCCCTGAGGCGCTTCGCCCGCGGGAGGGTGGAAGGGAGAGGGGGGGGGGCGGGCGAGAGGGGCGCAGGAAAGCGGGGGGGGGAAGGGGGGGTCGAGTGCAAGCTGGAGGGGGAGGAAGGGGACGGAGAGCGGGGAACAGACAGGGAGGGGGGGGCTAGGGGGAGGGGGCGGAGGAGGAACGGGAGGAGGAGAAGGAAGAGGATTTTTGAAAAGCTCGAGCGTCGAAGCGCACTAAGCACCCTAACATGCGAAGGTGTTGGCAACTCTAGCGGCCACGATGGTGGCCGCGCTAAGCCCGTGTTATCCCCATGGCCGCTCGAGCGCTCGAGCGACGCCGCGCCGCGAGAGTTCGGGGTCAGCCCGTGTTATTCCCATGGCGCGCGCCAGATACTTTGGCGCTGGCCATGGCGCGTCCCGAGGGCCGAAACAAGACCCATCAAAACCCCCACGGCGTGGTTTCCATCAAAACCCCATGGCGCACCCCCCCAGGGCATATCCTAAGAAACGACGTCGTAACTCCAGGGTTCGTGTTATCGTTGTTCGGTGTCGTTTTTTTGCGCGCGTTTCCCGCTGGCGTTCTGGGGTGCTTCTCGCGATGCCGCAGCGAATGGTCGGGCACCGATTCGCTTGGGCCCCGTTATAGCGACAGCCATGGTGGCGCGTCAAAGCAACAGGCGGGCGGCATGAATCAATTCTTACCCGTAACGAGGATATACCAAGGACGTGCAAGAGCCTGTTCGGGGCGCGGCAGGCCCAAGAAGTCAACGTTCCATTGTAAAGCCGCGTGGCGTTTCGAGCGATAGGGCGACTTCTGATCACAGCATGTTCCTTGGTCCAATCAGGTTCTCGCTCCCAGTGCGCCTCTTGCGCACTTACTTTCTCCTCGTTCTTTTTCATCCATCCCCTCTCGCCCCCGCGCGAACTGTTGTCTACGTGGATACGGTGCGTTCGGGCATGGTGTCTCTCGAAGACGTCGTCGTCATCGTCCCTTCCGCGTTGGAAGGAGGTAGCGCGCCCCTGTCGCGCCTGGAGTGCACTGCGAGATGGCCCCGCAGGCGGCGGTGCCCGCACGTTTTGGGGCCGCCTCTCTGGCCAGGGCGCATTCGCGCGCGCGCGCGCCTCGGACCCCCGCGCCCAGACGCCCACCCCGGGCCATTGCGTCGAGTCTGCCGGTTGGCCCCCCCGTGCTTCCGCGGGCACGTGCGCCCTCGTTTTCGACCCGCCCCGTGTTCGGGGTGCGTTTGGGAGAGTTTGCGGGGGCCGAGTAGAGGTTTCCGGGGTGCTCAGTGGGCCATCCGGGGAACTATCGATGAACCGTGTGCGCGCGGACCGAACGCCTCTTCTGATCTTTTCCGGGCGGGGCCGCACGGGCGCGCGTGGCTCGACGGTCCGAGGGCCGCGGGCCCACACCACTCGATGAAGCAGGAGCTTTGGTCCCGCGGTCTCAGGGCCGCGCCGCGGATTTCGCGGGCCCCTGACTCTACGCGCCAGGAGGCCTCGACTTTTGGTGATTCTTGTGCCTGGGAGTCGTCGGCTCTTCCTTCTGGGGCCCAGGAAGTCCCGCCTCTTCGCCGCGGAGCGCCACAATCCTCTGCCTTTGACTCTGGGGCGCAGGTATCGAGGACCCTTCGACACTGAGCCCGAGAGGATCGCGCGCCCTGGGCTGCCGCGGAGTCTGTTGGCCTTGGCCCGAGGGCCCTGGACTCAGGGTTCGCGGGGCCCCAGGCGAGCAGGCCGCCCGCGCGCGCCGGGTTTCCCCCCGAGATGCCGCCGAAAGAGGCTACCGAAAGATGGCAGTTTTACATCGCCGACTCATGGGCGAAAGTTGGGGGAATTGTTTTTTGTGTTTTTTCTCAGCGCGGAGCACCATTCGGGGCGTCGGCGGGCAAGATTCGGAGCCCTTGCGCGGCGCGGTTCGATGCCCCATTCGGAGCGTCGGCGGGCGAGACTCGGAGCATGTACGCGGCCGCCGCAGTGAGGAGTCGGGGGTGGGATTCGACTGCACGAGGTGCGCTCGCAGTCCTCAACAACTTGTCAGAAGCATCCCAGGAGCCTCCCGAGAGCTTCTCATGGGCCTCTCAAAGCTCAGAGGCTCTCAGAGCTCCGCCAGGAAGTGGGCCTCGTGCTGAACTCCCAGGACCGCTCCGCGAGTTTCCCGGGGGCCTCTCGTGAGCCTTCGGGGAGCCCATCCGGTGGTCTCGGGAGTCTCTGTTGGAGCTTCCGAAGGCCTTCCGTCGAGCTTCCGGGGGGCTTCCCCCGCGACGCCCAACTCCGAGCGCGAAGGCCCGTCGGCTCTTTCGGAGGGGGGCCCGTGCAGCACGGCTCGCTCCCAGCGCAGGCGCCGACGGGGGCCCCTGCGCCCCCTCCGGTTCGTCCTTCCATTCCTCTTCTCCTGATGGCCCGGCGTTCTCCGTCTTGCCCGTTCGCCCGTTCCCGTCCTCGTCGTCGCCCTCCCTCTCTTCCTTCTCCTCCTCCCCCCCACCATCGCTTGTTTTTGTTACATTCCGCGTTACCCGAGTGGCACTCCGCCCCTCTCGTTTTCGCTGTCGGTCCTTGTCCTCCTCGGCCGCCCCGCCGCCCCCCCTCCTTCATCGCCCCCTCCTCGCACGCCCGCTCTTCCGCCCCCCGCCTCTTTGCCGTCTGCCCCTTTCCGAGTCTTCTTGCGTTTTCCTTCACGGCCTCTGTGGCACCGTCCTTCCGCAGATGTGCCCCGCTCTCCGTGCCGTTTTTTTTCTCCGTTCTCCTTTCCGCTTTCGCATCACCTTTACATCCGTGTCCTGCAAATGCCGCCCTCAGGCGCCCGTCGCTCTTCCGTCCACGAGTTCGCCTCCATCGAACGAGAGTGTTTGGGGCGTCAGGGCGAATCGGGCTAAGTCGGGGCAGGCGTGTCTTCGCGCGTGCGCTGGATGCCCCCGGTCGCGGAACTCCTCCTTGTCCGCTTCGTTGACGCCTGCGAGGGGGGAGGGGAGCGCCCTCGCCGGGCGCGGGGGCGCGCTGTTGTGCCCTCCCCCACGCGCGCTGGCGCGTTGTCGCTGCTGTCTCTGTCGCCGTCGTCGTTGTCCTCTTCGTTTTCGCGTCCGCGCAGAGGTCGGCATAATTCGCCCCTGGCGCTTCGCCGTGGAATTGCGCATTCGATCACACCTGTCAGAGTTTGAGAATGAGCCGCATTCACATGCAAGTTGGGGGCGGGTAGTTCAAACTAGCCCGCTGCCGCCGTCATCCTGGGGTCGAGGTTTTGGGGCGCTCATGGCTTTGGCTGGCCTCCTGTGGCACACTCGTTGGTGCGGCTGGATTTCCGATCGGAGCCCCTGCCGGAATGCACCCCAGGAGTGGCCCTCTCCTGGCCAGAATGCGCCTCAGGTCTGTGAGCAGTCTACTGTGCTCAGCGGTTGTGCGCTGGGCTCCTGCAGGATTTGTTGGTCATCGGAAGTGACTTGCGGTCCTTCATTTCGACCGGCCTTTGGTTCTCCACCGGGCCCGACGCGAACAAATGCGCCGAATGATGGTTTCGCGAGCTCTGGGCGCAGGCGCCTTCTTTTGCAGTCTCTCTCTCTCTCGCCCTGCTTTTTGGCTCACTTTTTCTTGCGATATGAAAATAGTTTTAATTATCGGGTGGCTCTGGGCCAACCGAGTGCAACGGCCAGATTCCCGCACTGCCGCAGTCTGCCCGCCCCAGCCATTGATTGCGTTGGGTTTGCCCTCCAGCCGCACGCGGTGCGATGCTGCCACACTGCCACACTGTTTTGCAACATTGTGTTATTTGTCCATTTCACCTTGCACACTGCTCTTGTTCAGCGTGTCCTCTCTCCTCTCCGTTCCCTTTTATCTCTGTGCTCAGCTCGTGCGGGGCCTTGGTGTGCGAGCAGCTGTTCCTTGGCCCCCGCACCCACGAGCTCGCGCCCCTCTGGTTTTTTCTCGTTGAGCGCGTTCTGTGAGTGCTTTGGCCTCAGTGCATGTGCAGCCCGTCTCGCCCTGTCCGTTTTCTGTTGATGTTCGGAACCTTTTGCTTCCTCGTTTTCGCTTTCTGCCTCCTGGTACTGTCCCCCGTGCCCCTGCTTTCCTGGTTTTGTGTCTCTCCGCTGCCTCCTGCGTGCCCTCTGCGTGGCGTCCGCGCTCTTGGCTGTGTCTCATGTGACGTTCCCGGTTTGCCCGTCGGTTTTCAGTCTCACGTCGTGAAGCACCCCAAAATATGCCAAGTCGTCGCCGTCGTCACCGCTGTCACCGCCGCCGCCGTCGTCGTCGTTGTGTGTTATCATATATGTTTCTGGGGCGTTCGACGTTTTTGCGGCGGTTTCTGTGAGATTTCCTGCGTTCGCGAGCAGCCGTACCCCGCCCATGGCCTTCGAGAGTCGCAAGAGACGGCCCAGGCCGCGGACGGCACTATGGCCGCGGACGCCACCTCGGGGCCTCCCTCGGTCGTCGCCGTCGTCGCAAACATCAATGCGACGTCGACAAAATTACACAGCAGGCGTTTTTGCCACCAGCTGCGGAGCCTAAAGGATTGGCCTGGCTCGGGGCATGCCGCACGAAGGCGGGGTCGGCTTGTTTCGTGTATGTGTTTTTTTCCGGCGACGCCGGACATCAGGTTCCTCCTGCTGGCCCTTTCGACCCCGAATCCCGCCAACGTATAGCCTGGCGGGTCCTGTCGAATTTCTGGGCCTTCGTCTCTCCCCCCGAGGGGTGTCCCGAACGCAAGCAGAACTGCAAGAGTTCTTATTGGACTCCTCCCCTACTGCCCCTCCCGTTCCTCTTCCTCCTCTCCCCACCTCCTCTTATTTTCCGGCATGATGTCGTTGAGCGATGAGTGGGCTGACGCGCTCGCCGCGACGGCGCAGCTGCCGCTGGCTCTTGCGGCCGCGGCGAGGTGGCCCCCAGCCTGCGGTGGCTCTGGCCGTGGCGCCCCTGCGGAACCCGCGGCGGCGGCTGCTGGCGCGGCGCCGCCGGATCCCGAGGAGCGCGCCGCGCGTGAGGCCGGGTATCCCGGCCGCCGACGCCGAGCAGTTCTCCGCCCAGTCCCTCGATGCGCTCCGCCGGGTCGCGGCCTCCTGGGCAGGCGCAATCGCCGGAGTGGGACTGGGGAGGCAGCGGGGGTGGCGGCGATAATGCTTAGCCGCTACGGCGGGGTGGCCCCCGCCCTCCCCCTCTCACCGCACACAGAGTTCGCACTCGCTTGTTCCACTTCATTTTCTCAAGACTGAGGTCTGCTAGTGGCTCACCTGCAGACTTGAGGCTCGCTCGCTCGCTCGTCTGTTGCTCCTCTTACGTTCCCCGCCTCCCCCTCGTATCCCTCCCTCCGATCCCCCCATCCCTTATCCCCATCACTCCCTGCCTACCTCCCCCTCCCCCCCCGTCCTCCCCCTCTCTCCATCCATTTCCCTCCCCCTCTTCCTCCTCGCTTCGAAACCCTCCTCCGCCGCGCCTTCCCCTCCCTACGACGACGACACCGATGCCGCCGACGCCGCCGAAGACGAGTGGGAGTGCTAATCGACCCCCTGATTTCGGATGCGTTTTGGGGTCGGTTTTGTGATCAGTCTGGGCCAACTGGAGTATGCACTTTCGGCTAGTTTCGGCCGTGCGAGGAACACTTGCGCGAGAACGCCCCGTGATGGCATTATTCCAGGCCGTCGAGCTTGCCAGGCCCCCCTTTGGTTTCACACATCTTCTCGTCGAGGAGGGAGCCCGAATCCGGAACCAGGCCCGAGGCCGCGGCCGGGGCCAGAGCGGGGCCTGGGGCCGGGTCGCCAAGGCCCGGGCTGAGACGGGGGCAGGAGCTTGGGCCGAGGCCAGAGCCGAAGTCGGTGCCAGGGCCGGGCCTGGTGCCTCCTCCTTCAAGCGTGCGCGCGGAGGCCAGAGCCCTTCTCGCTGTCGCGCCGGCAGCTGGAGCAGCCGCTGCTGCGTTATTCCTCTGCCCGGCGCTCGGCCCCCACTGGCCCGCCGTCGCCGTTGCTGTCGTGGCCGTCGTCGTTGCCGTCGTCTGGGCAGGGCACCTCGACGTTCGAGGTTCGTTTTTGTTGGGAGGGGGTTCGAAGACACAAAAACGGCATAACCATCACCTTGCGGCGCTCCGCTCAGATTTCTTGGGTCGGTGCCTGGGACCCGGGACTCCCTGCAGGCGCTGGTGGCGCGCTCTGCGCGCCACGGAAGGTGGTGCAGCGCTGTTCCAAGAAATCTTTGCGGACCTCCGCAAGTTTCTTTTTATGTAGTGCTTTCTTCCTCTAGGTTGGGGGTCGTTTTGGACTCTCTGGGTGTCTTTGGAAGGCTTGTCGTCGCCATGGCTGGATTCGCTTTGAACTTCTTGACGCTTCACGTATCCCCACCAGCCTCCGCAACCTCTGGCTCAAGCCGTCTCCTTGGGTTGTGATTCCCTCTGAGGACAGGGCTCGAGGGGGCGCCCAGACGCTGCGCGCGGGCGGGCCGCGCCGCCCTGGGTGCCATACTCGTCCGTGCCGCCCGCATTGCGTCCCCTCCTTATCCTTTTCGTCCCCGCCTCTGCCGACCTGGGGATGGAGGATGGAGGGTGAGACAGACGGATCGCGTGCCAGCGCCCTGGGGGACCGATGTCGGGGACGAATGCGAAGGGTTAGTGCGAGGCTTGGGGGCTCTTGCACTGCCCGCGGACAATCCGAACCTCGGGCCCCCTGGGAAAGTATACGATCGCTCGGGAGCGACCCCAGACGACCGGCAGTCATCGCTCCCAGTGCGGAGGATCGGGCGATCGATCGTGCTGATGGTGACCACCATGGGAAGTGTTGGACCCGCCGTCACAGCCACGAGGCGACGGGGGTCGCGACCACTCAGACGGAATAGTCGAGAGCCGCGTACCTGGAGGCAATGGCTCCCTGCCCTCACCCCCGTTTCGCTCGATGCATTTGCGGCGATCGGCCGCCAGCCTGGCGAAGACTGTTTACATTATACATTTGCGACGATCAGTCGCACAGCCAGCCACGATTCCCCCCCGATCCTCCGCCATCGCGGCCGTCAGACGCTTGCCTGGGGATGAGCCCAGGGGCGCGCCGCCCCAAATTCGTGCGCTTGCGACGATCAGCCGTGCGCCTGGGAAAGATGCCGATAGGAATCGCGCGCCCGTTCTGGCCTGTCGCGTCCCGGCGGAGACACTTGACGACGACGTCGCCCCGGCGTCCCAGTCGGTCTTGTCCAGGCCCGGGGAGCAGGCGACGGCGCGGAGGCACGTCGCAGCAGCGACCACGACCGCGCGTCCCCGACCGACCATGACCCCCGTGACCTCCCACGCGGGATTTTAACCCTGGGATGCCGAGCCGGGGCAACTGGCGCGCTGCGCGATAGAGCGACGCAGGGCGCGCCCCCTGCATTTCCGACGCCCTCCGACGCCGATCAAGCGCGGGCCCCCGCCGCGCCCGTCGGCGGGCACAGCGGCAACGAGGAGGGCCTGGGGTGGGAGTTGGTAGTTGGTTCGCATGGCCGGGCGCCAGGAGGGCGCACCTCGCGAGCCCCCGCGCCTGCGGTCAGCGAGGGGCCGCGAGGAGACGTTCGGGCGCAGGGGATTGGCCGCTCTGTCCCCAGCGCGAGAGGGCGGCGGAGCGGGATGGATCGGCTCGCCCGCGATCGGCCGGATCCGCGTCGCGACCGATGCGAGATCGGGGCGGCCGCCGAGTCCACCTGCCCCCCCGTGGATAGCCGCGAAGCCCCTCCTTCTTTTGAACTTGCGGCGATCAGCCGCCTACCTGGGGAAGGGCCCGCGAACGATCCACGACGCGACAGTGCATTTCCGACGATCAGTCGCACACCTGGGGTAGACGTGGAAAGAGACGGCGGCCACCCTTCGCTTGCGGCGCACCTAGGAAAGCAATTGACGACGACGTCGCCTCCGCTGTCCCCCTCGACCATTTCCAGGCCTGGGAGAGATCGGGCGGCGCTGCGGCGCGGGGCAACGGCGACGAAGACTGCGCCTCAACGACCGACTCCGACGCCCGCGCCCCACCCCGCGCAGGATCTCGTCGCCTGGGGGCCAAGCCAGGGCAAGTGGCGCGTGCAGTCCCGGACGACGCCCGGCGACGCTTGTCCGAGCCTCGGTCGCCCTCGGGCGACGACCAAGGATGGGCGGCCGCCGCGCCCGGCGGCTGGCGCAGCGATGGCGAAGACGGAGCAGAGGCAGGGACTTCCGCCAGACGGACCCACCCCGCGAGCCTCTCCCCCTGTGATCGCGGTGGGGCGTCAGAGAAACGCTCGGACACAGGGGGCCTGCCCGCTCTGCATCCGACGCAAGAGGACGGCAGGGCAGGAACGGATCGGCCCGTCTGCGATCGGCCAGATCGGCATCGTGCCCGAGTTGGGATCGGGCCCCCCTCTCAGCTCACCCGCGCCCTCCTCTCTTCCTCCGCTCCAGCTGCCATCCACCGCGCCGTTCGGTTCGACGCGCGGCGCAGCGGCGCGCCGCCAGCCCCCCATTCTCACACTCCCATCGGCCCACGCTACGACCCCAGCAGCTGGTTTCGACGCGGGCCACGCGGTGGGCCCGCGATCGAAGACCTCATGGGAGGGGGGCACCAGCGCCCCGCGGGCTCTGGGCGAACGACGCGGGGCCACAGCCGTGTACCAATGAAGCCGCCCTGCGACTCCAGCCGATGATGCACTTCGCCTGGAAGCGGCACCCCGAAGGCCACCTTGAACTATAGCCGGTCGGCGCCCCAATGACGACCCGCCCCCGCGCCGCGCCTGCCCCCCCGCGCCGGCGCCCCCCCCCTGAACCCTGCGCCAACGCCCACGCGCCCGCGAGCCTTGCTGAACTGGCATGGTCGGCGAACGAGGAGACAGCGAGGGCAGGCTGTGAAGTGTAAGACGGCATCCAGCACAGTTGCTCGCCGCGAGATTCGCCGAGCTGATGGATGCGCGCGACGGCGGGCCCCCCCCCCCCCCCCCCCCCATCCAAACAATTATCCCGGCAAAGCAACCTAACAGCGATGTGTATAAGCATATCTGGAAGCATTCCCCTGAAGATTCAGGTGAGAATCCAGTTGTCGAGTTCTGCTGTTCTCGAAGTCGCAGTCGCATTCGCAATGACAGTCGCAGTGGCAACGGGATTAGGATCCAACGGAATCCTACGGATTCCTGGGGCTTCCTAAGGCATCCTTAGACATCGTTAGGAATCCATTGGGATCCTTAGGAAACCTTAGGAATCCGTAGGAATCATGATTCCTAGGGATTCCTGGGGATCCCTAAGGATTCCTCAGGAATCCTTAGGATGCTTAACTATGCCTACGGATTCCTACGGATTCTCATGGGTTCCTAAGGATTCCTGGGAATTCCCAAGGATTCCTACGGATTCCTACGGATGCCTCAGCCTGCCTCAGTTTCAGCCTCAGCCTCAGCTTGCCTCGGCTTGCTTCAGCCTCAGCCTCATCCTGCCTCGGCCTCAGCCTCAGCCTGCCTCAGCCTCAGGTCAGCCTGCCTCGGCCTCAGCCTGCGTCAGCCTCAGCCTCAGCCTGCCTCAGCCTCAGCCTGCCTCAGCCTCCGCCTCAGCCTCAGCCTCGGCCTCAGCCTCAGCCTCAGCCTCAGCCTCAGCCTCAGCCTCAGCCTCAGCCTCAGCCTGCCTCGGCTTGCTCCAGCCTCAGCCTCAGCCTGCCTCGGCCTCAGACTGCCTCGGCCTCAGCCTGCCTCAGCGCCCCCTTCTGGCCTCCTTCCCCGCCCCCCCCCCCCCCCCATTCAGCCTCACCTGTCTCAGCTTCGGCCTGCCTCGGCCACATCCTCAGCCTCAGCCTCAGTCTCAGCCTCACCCTGTCTCGGCCTGAGCCAGCCTCTGCCTCTGCCTCAGCCTGCCTCAGCCTCAGCCTGCCTCAGCCTCAGCCTCAGCTTGTCTCAGCCTCAGCCTGCCTCAGCATCAGCCTCAGCTTCAGCCTCAGCCTACCTCGGCTTGCCTCGGCCTCAGCCTCAGCCTGCCCCGGCCTCAGCCTCAGCCTCAGCCTGCCTCAGCCTCAGCCTCAGTCTGCCTCAGCCTCAGCCTGCATCAGCTTCAGCCTCAGCCTGCCTCAGCCGCAGCTTGCCTCAGCCTGAGCCACGGCCTCAGCCTCAGCCTCAGCCTGCCTCAGCTTCAGCCTCAGCCTCAGGCTGCCTCGGCTTGCCTCGGCCTCAGCCTCGGCCTGCCTCGGCTTCAGCCTCGGCCTGCCTCGGCCTCAGCCTCAGCCTCAGCCTCAGCCTCAGCGTCAGCCTCTCAGCTTCGGCCTGCATCAGCCTCAGCCTCAGCCTCAGCCTGCCTCAGCCTCAGTCTCAGCTTGCCTAAGCTTCAGCCTGCCTCAGCCTCAGCCTCAGCCTGCCTCGGCCTCAGCCTGCCTCAGCCTCAACTTCAGCCTGCCTCAGCCTCAGCCTGCCTCAGCCTCAGCCTCAGCCTGCCTCGGCGTGCCTCAGCCTCATCCTCAGCCATCCTCGGCCTCAGCCGGCCTCGGCCTTGGCCTGCCTCAGCTCGGGCATTCAAAATATGGCACAGGACTGGTGTTCTGGGAGCACGAAGACCACGCAGTGGCCCACAGTTGGCTCCGGGCAATGAAAATATGGTACAAGAGCGGTGTTCTGGGAACGCGAAGAACACGAAGTGGCCTACAGTTGGCTCCGGGCATTCAAAATGTGGCCTGGGAGTGGTGTTCTGTTGGCTCCGGGCAGTCAAAATGTGGCTCCTGGCAATCAACATGGAGAGTCCCTTGATTCCCGCGGCGCCCGTCTGGCATCTGCCCAGACCCCCCTGGGGAGTCATGATGCTTTCTTTTGAGACCATTAGAAACCTATCAGTTTTCGATGCTAGGTTAAAAAAAGTGGACTGCGACGCTCCCAGTCCCGCCGAAAAGGTTACAATCTGCAGAGAATTCCACCTCCTGCGGGAAGCATCCCTCCACTGTGACATGGGCGGTCGTCGCCAGAACAACTCTCGAAGCCGTTCC